TAATACAGTGTAAAATACGTCCTTCGTACGACAACAACTGTAAACAAACAACTGTGTACTTGAGATACTCCCTAGTGAGAGAGTACGTAAATATAATTAAATTACAATTGCTAATATAATAAAATATATGGAATTTACTAAGATTTACAGGCTTAAAATTTTATAAATAAGTATTTTCTACTCGAATTTTTTTATGTTTATAACGCGTTTAAACACCGGATTCGACTTAGGTTACGTACTCAACCCTTCCGCATTCCGTCCAAATCACGTAACTAATTTTCATCCTTACTTCTTTAATCGTTATAATAATAAAAGATAAACTCGACGAGGGAACATTTCACGCTTTAATGTTCCTTTATTACTCGTTAAATTGATCGAAAACTCGGCTCTTAACTCGAAAGTAACAGAAAAAAAAACAAAGAGGAATTTCCCCCCTTTTTTAATACGTTTAAAGTATTTTAAATCGTTTATTTTAAATTATTACACAAATAAATACATTATTAAAGAAAAATAAACTTAAAAATTCTTAATGGAATGCCCTAAAAATATACATTTTTTTCGTGTCGCAACCAGCCAAGGGCGTATCTAGGATTTTCACAGGGGTGCTGCCATTAAATTATATTTATTTACACTACATTCGAAGCACCGTCGCTCCAAGAAACACCTCCATCTTTTTTAAGAATCGGAATGCATTTTTTTAAAATTTAATTGGTCAAGGTTGGATACGAAACGATAGAGAATAATGCATAGAAAAGTTCTCTGGGCTATTGCTACAACAATAGTAATTTCGTCCGCATTTTACATCATCGCTCTTGTCTCTTGTAGTTATTTTTTTCTCACCTTTCTTCACCGGCTTTCTAGATATTAAATGAATTCTTCTACATTATATTTATCCAGCTACAAGTCTGAGAAATGTGTCTAAGAGGAAGAAGATCCGTCCTAAATTCTAGAACAATATAAATGTTTACAATTAGAAGAAGATGCAATTTTTTGCTGGAAGGATTTGAAAAATTCAGAAAAATAAAAGGAATTTAAATTACGGAATTGTTCCGGAATGAAATAAAATCACGATCGTTCCCTCCTAGTTTTCTTTTCTTTCATAATTCTTAAACGAAGATTGATGATGTTTCGAGGGTCGAATTAAAAATATCGATCTGTACTTAACTGTTTTCTTTATTTGTACTTACCTAATGTCAATATGTCTTGCACCTGTAGAATTTTTTTTCTGTTAACATCGAAACTCGTGCCAGTAGGAGCTGTCGACATTTATATATATATATACTTTTTTATTTTTATAATTATTATAATAGACTATTGTAATAATGCCTGTCAAAGATCGCTGAAGCATTTCTCTTTCTTCTGTTATCAGTGTCATTCTTGTTATTTTATTAATTTAATTTAATGTATTTATATAATTTTAAGATAGATACTAACGCTTAATACTTTGCCAGGTACTAATTTATTATTTGTAGAGTTGAAGGGCTTCTTATAAGTTATGAATTCATTATTTTAAGGCCTCAAATATATCTACTTTCGATATTTAAGAGGCCTTATTACAAACTACTGTGCTTATGTTTGAAATTAATGTTGCGAACTTGGAACTGGTGAAGTGATAGAGATGTCTAGTGTATATTTTGACCAGGCAAAAGTTCATTAATCTGAACGAAGATCCTGTTGAAAGTTCTTATTTACTTGTAAGCTGTTGATTGTTTAGATCTTGTTAACATTAAATAATCCAGACCAGTGATACGTAAAGTCTAAATCAGATATGCTGCATGAGACATCGACCTTAATCATGAGATGAGAGCATCTCCTAGTATTACCAATTAGTAGAAAGAGAATGAAAAGAAATCGCATTTGTCCCTATATTTATATAGAGTCCACTCGGGTTTCCTAGTTTATTTATAGCTACTTTCTCAAGTAAAATACTTATAGGGTAGATCGAGGGGTGTTTGTTTGTTTGTATATGGCAACTGGACACGTGGACGAAATGCCGAGGGATAGCTTTCTATGGAAAACTGGCTCCTATTTAGGTGTTATAACGTGAAAAAGGCCTAGAAAACTCCACGTGGCCAACTGTTGACCTGGCGCGAACCCATGACTGACTACCAGTGTTCTGAGATCTTATCACTCGCCACTGGTGTCAAGGGGTAAAAATTGATCAGGAATTTATGAAAATTTATCTACAGAAGCCGTAAGAACACGATAATAGAAATAATGACCATCTTTTATCGTGTTTTTTTCCATTTTATGCTGTAGATGCATTCGAACAGAGTTAGTCTAGTATTATAAGTGTTTGGTCTCAAATATGGACAAAGTCTAACCCATAATGGATCGGGCCAGATACTCAGTGGGGATACCTAGACAGGGATTGGGGTCTTGGCTCCCCAGAAGGCCTAGAAATTTCCGAAATAATAAAAGTAAACTGAATTCATTTGGGTCAGTCAGAAGAAACCAAAACACTAAGGTTATTTGTGAGCACCAAGAGGGCCTTTTTCCGTACCCATCGTGTAAAAAATGACACGATGGGTACGAAAAAAGGCCGTCTTAGTGAAAAAATGTTCGCGAATGTTTCTATTTTAAACTATTTTAATATAGTTTGTTCATAATTGAAAAGCAAGAGATCCATTTTCCCAATGAATCATACAGTAGTCAATTTCTGTAACCCATTCTGTTTATATTTAACCTTGAACAGTGTAAATTTAGAAGGATTTTTAAATATTAAATTATCTTACTTCCGAAATCACCTCGAGCCACCTGGAAGAAGATATAAATAGCATCAGCTTCGATAAAAATAAATAAAAAATTAATCACGTGAGTGTATTCTGGTTCGAATATCCTCCTATTTAATCCACTTAAATCCTATACTATAGCGTATGAGGCCCTTCTTTCTCCATATAAAAATTCGAGGCCTTCAATTGTATACGCGTATTGCCAGGCCCTTGATAATACGTAAATCTGGCCTGAATTTAAGTGTCACAGGAAGATAAGATTCCTGTATGATTGCTGATCTTGTAGGCCTACATTTTCGCGTAGGTCGAGTCGGACCAAGTGGGTGCTACTAGGAAGAGAAGTCCTTCACGGCTTTGTGAAATCATGCCCTTTAAATATTAATGCATCATCTGTCTGGTAAAACAAACAGGTTTGGCGACTGGGGTGAAGGTTATTTCCTGTACTTCTCCGTTCGATCTGCAAATATTAAAATATGTGCAAGGTTAGAAATGATATTAAGTAATGATGTACGGCATCGCTTCTTTGTTATGGTAATTGGCCATAGAAGATAATCGAGCATCAATGCAAATTTCTCTCTTCCAGAGGACGATTTTAGTTTAGTTCCGTTTACGCTTTTGATCGTTTGTTTTTGTTTAAACGGTAGAAATGAGGTATATTTAGCGAAAATTAGCATAATTATTCTTTAAGAAATTCAAGAAACTTAAGTTTCTCTCCTGCTCTTCAAATATAATTGAGGTTTTGAGGAAAAAAAGAACACCGTAGGCTATTAATATTCCCGCATCTCGGAAACTCGATCCTAGTTTTATAAATTGATAAAAGGACTTTAATAATGAGGTAAAAATGTATTTATTTTAAAAACAGAAATGTTTTCAGAGATTATTAGAAAGAATTTTAAGAATTGCAAGGCACAGAAAAAATTAGGAATCACAGGGAGGAATCACAGGTTATATAGTAAAATAGAGGGATCAGAGAGAGGGGAATCACAAGTTACAGGGGAAAAAAGCAAGGAACAGGGAGAGAAGGAGAGGAATCACAAGTTACAGGGGAAAAAAGCAAGGAACAGGGAGAGAAGGAGAGGAATCACAAGTTATAGAAAAGGAGAGAGATCAGAGAGAGAGATAGAGGAATCAGTTATAGTAAAATAGAGGGATTAGAGACAGAGGAATCACAAGTTACAGAAAAAAAGGGATCGAGGAGAAAGCAATTATAAATTACAGAAAAAATTTACAAATATTACAGCGAGATCACAAAAAACTCAGAAAAAGTATAAGGACTTAGACACAAGAGAGCAATAGCAGATCCAGAAATCTTCAGAGGATGGTGCAAAAATAGATACAATAGTTTTATAGTTACAAAATTTTTCGACTATTTGAGGAGATTTACTGGAGAAAACCCCCAGAAGGGGATACAGCTGAGATCTGCGCACCCCTAAATCCGTCTCTGTAAGGGGGATTTTAAAATATCGAAACATATAGCAAATATTAATAGAAAAGAGTACAATAATAAAACAAAACAACACGGAAATCAACGTGTAGACATTACAAACTCTACTTTATCTTGGCAATTTAGATAAGAGGTTGCATAAACTAGATAATTGGAGTGGTGGCAGTGATTGCTGCAATATACAACCGTCGTGTGTTGGATTCTTGATTATAGTTCGTTTCCATTAAAGATTTAACCAATAAACTTAGCTTTCTTCTCTCGAAAACTTTTAAATTTAAATAGTCTTCTTATTCCCTATTCTAGTCTTCAGCATCCTTAATTAATTTAACAGAATGTATACAGTAAATCCCCTAATAAATACTGTATGTCATATGTGTTATAGTAGACATGTATGAAGCTAAAATGATGAAATTTGAATCTGTAGAGTGCAGAGGAATTCTGCAAACTTCACCCCTCTACAGATTCAAACTTTTTAAAAAGAAGAAAGAAAAATGAGACAATAACAAACAAAATTTGCATCTTTTCTACTAGAAAATATCGAATTTTTTAAATTAATTGCCAATTTCTATTGTGGAATTTAACTCGAAGAGATTTACAACCGAAAAAAACACGAGTTTTTTCTCTAGAAAACGTTGAAGTAAAGTAAAATCGAATGTTTTTTTCTTTAGAGTATCCTCAGATATAGATTTTCCACCTTCAAACAGTGAATTTTAGGGAAATTTACGGCTTTGCAACGTACCAAAAGGAGACGAGACAATACAAAACACGAACTAGTGTCGAATACTTCACAACTCGTCCACTAGAGGCGCCTTTAGCGAGTGTAAACATAGAGTCGGTAGTTGCATGTGCAGATGCAGATCGGCGGCAAAAGCCATCGAGAAGGATACAGCGAGTTCTTGAACGGCTCCGAATATTTTAAGATGTTGAACACCGATTAAAGGGCAAAGATGTCCATTCAAGACTTGACCATCGCTTTGATGAACACGGAATTATCGGACAAATCGGCATCGGCACCGTCTACACCCACGAAAAGCAACAAACTCGTTCATGGGGGATCGCTCGACTTGTTAACAAAAGGAAAGGGAAGAAGAGTTACGTTTCCGGCTGACGATCTAATCGTCAGCGGATATCTGGATCCTCCGGACCCTTGGGTCAAAGGTCAGTCGCAAATTTATGCCCTCCCCCTTTTTTTCTTTTTAATTTTTGAATTGGCGGCCGCTACGTACGAGTTTCATTCAATGATCACTTTTACGCTCGCCTACTTAATGGAGGGTGTAGTCGGGCGAACTTGTACGAGATTTTCTGGTTTGTCTCGCTCCAAAACGAATCACGTGTCGATAATTATATATGGGATTAAATTGAATTGATTTTTCAAGTAGCTCAATTTGTCGACGGGTGAGGAGAAGTTACGTTTGTTCTTTCGTAACACACGTACTTCCGCGTTGGATGTATTCAACTAGACAAAAATCTTTTAATCATTTACTTTAACAGGCTATTTATTGAAAGTTTTATATAATAATAACAATAATATTTATATTGGCCGAGAGTTTATTACACTAACTTTAATTTATCAAACCGCCTCCATCTTTTCTTTATAAACAATTAACATCTCCACCCCCCTACAAAATACCTTCTAGTCTAGTAGAAAAATGGATAAAATTGGAGGAAATAAAATCAATTTTACCTCCGAATAACGGCATTTGTCCTCTATTTAGAGGTAAAAATGTCCGTGTGTATTTTTAAAATTAACACCAGAATTGAATTGTTTAAACTAGAAATCTCAATTATGTAAACTTATTAAGAGGAAGCGGATGAGTGAGAGCAAAAATAATAAAGATCTTAATCATCTTCACATTAATTAAGTGTGTTTCACGTTTACTGTGATCGATTTTTAAACGTGTTCGAGATAAAAAAAACGTGTAAAAATTGAGAAAAAAAAATGGCTTCTTCGAGACGGTTGTGAAATGTTTTTTAATGTCGAAATTGTCATAAATGACTTCGCCTTTATCTAAATTCAAATCGTTATTATCATGAAGGAGAAGTATATTTAAATTTAATTATGCATTAACTTTTAAATTGATTTAAGTATCATTGATATTGCTAAATTTGGTAGCTGTTAAGTAGGGCTTTTCTTACCCGAAACTGTGTTAAGGTCTGTAACTTTCTAGATGTAAATTTAGTAATAATTTACGTGTAGAGTTTGTTGTAGTGTGGCAATTTTTTTTTGGAGGGGATAAATTTACTGTAAACATCCAGAAGTTTTTATGGTTATTTTTTTCCCCCTTAAGGAAATAATTAAAAATTATTATTATTACTTGATAAATGAGAAAAATTTTAACGGGAGAGGTTTAAATTATGAAATGTTTTATTACTGTTATGAAAGAAATTTTATTTTACTTTTTTTATTATTAATGAAATTTTTGTGTTGCAAATTAAATTTTTCTTTTTCTCGTACAGTGATGCTGTGTTGCTATCCTTTGTCGTGTTTTTTTCCTCATCCCTTTTTGTGATGCTCCTTGTGTGATTTCTTCTGTTTTATGATGATTATTGTGTGATTTCTTCTGTTTTGTGATGATTATTGTATGATTTCTTCTGTTTTATGATGATTATTGTGTGATTTCTTCTGTTTTGTGATGATTATTGTATGATTTCTTCTGTTTTATGATGACTATTGTGTGATTTCTTCTGTTTTGTGATGACTATTGTGTGATTTCTTCTGTTTTCTGATGACTATTGTGTAATTTCTTCTGTTTTCTGATGACTATTGTGTGATTTCTTCTGTTTTCTGATGACTATTGTGTGATTTCTTCTGTTTTCTGATGACTATTGTGTGATTTCTTCTGTTTTGTGATGATTACTGTGTGATTTCTTCTGTCTTGTGATTCTTCTTTGTGTGAATTCTATTTAGCGTTATCCTCCCTTTTGTGATGCTTCCCTTTAACGATATTCTAGTCTTTACGACGTGCCTCTTTGCGATGTTTTCTTTAAAGTCTATAATCAAATTCTCATAATCGTATGTTCTATATTCCTTTCCCCCCTAAACTCTAGTAACATTTTACCGACTTTCCGCTCGTAAATAATTTCATAATTAAATAAGAATAATTAAAATGAATAATAATTTAAAAAAAAGGATTTATTATCTAATTAAATTAAAATTCGCGATTAAAAAAAGTGTCCTAAAATCGGTTTGCATCATTAAATAAGTTATTCGGTAGCCTATATAGTAGAGAATTAATCGATTAATTACGGATCGATAACACGAATCGATTTTTATCTATCGCCGCCAATTTGCACGTGCTGTAAAAGTACACCTTCTCGTTTAATTAAATGGCACATTTATCGTTGGTTACGTACGTATATTTTAACGTAACACACCGATGGATGGCGATAAGTTACTCCTTAACGTCGAAGGCATTGTTCTCTTATTATAGATTACTGTACATATTTAGCATTACAAAACACATTTAACAATTTCTGCACGCTCCGTAACGACATTCCGGTTACGTAACATACCATTTTTTTTACTTCGTAACATTAAAAATTCTGTTACACTACTGGAAAAGTGGACGCTCCCGTAGACTAATTAATAAAGAAGTGGTCGGATGGAACGGGGGTTGAGACACGCGAACCGTGACGTAACAATCGCTTCCGGTGACGAGACCGTCGCTTCCGTTACGATAAACTAGACTAATTGTTTGATGTTTTATTTAAAACACATTTAACGTCACCAGTTGTAAATTAGTAGTGATTTATAAATATTTATTGCATTACGGGGGGGATAATTTGTATTACACTACACGGCAGCACACTTGAAAAAAAAAGAAGAAGCAGGATACTGTATACACTCTTTCATGTTATATAACTTGTTTCACATCGGCCAATTATATTGCAAATGTATTGGCATTTTTTGCAAGAGTAAATATGTACATTCATTATTGAAAAAATCAGACAATGGCTACGTGTTTAACTCTCACTTTTCAATTAAGAATACGTGTTATTATTAAATTACGAAGGGTGGTCCAAAAGTCGGTTAACCCGTCTGTTTTTCTGCACGTTTCCGTGAGCGTGAGTTATAAATTAAGTTGGAAACAATGCGGTTTTATTTAAGAAACTGGCAAAGAATTGTATCAATTCTGTGTACTGCAATATACTAATACTACAGTGTCTTGTGTAGTAAAGACACTGTAGTATTACATCGCAGGCCCAAAAGTCAGTTGATTTTGTTCTGTTTTTGTATTTTCCAAGATACACCTGTGAATGAACGAGGCGGTTTTTTTTCTTTAATAATTGAGCCTGAAATGATTAATTGACTTTTGGGCATTTGTAAATATATACAGTAGACTATATATATTTAATTATTTAGGTTCTGTGTTGATAGTTGCATACGCGCAACTTGTTTTTGGAGATTGAAACGTGTGCGGCGATCGATGTTGGCGTTTGATACAGTTATTTGCATATTTATATTGTTGTATAATACCATTCAAACGATTCCTCTGTCTATATAAATCTTACTTTCGATTTTGTTAGCATTTCAAATGTTCTGGTCTTTATCTGTTCGAGACGATGACCTTTTCGACTTTTAAGATAACTTCTTCAGCTGTTAAAACTGGAAAGTTTAATTGCATCTTACATAACGTAAACAGTTACGTTGTAACGAAGCGAGCGAAGCAAACAACTTTTAGATCCGTCTTCCTGATTAATATATTGATAAATCTCAGAAATTTCAATATATTTTAGATAAATTACAATTTTATAAAAATCTCATTGAAATAATACTACTTTATTGAAATTCAACTTTCCTCTTGACTAATTGAGTAATTGCATTGAAAATATATTATGTTTGAATGAATAAATGCCATAAAATGATGTGGGCCTAATTATATAAAAAATTGAAATGTTATTCCTCATCTATTACGTAAATCTCAATAATAAAATTCCTCGTCTTTTACACGAATGCCAATTCGTAATTCCTCATCTGCTACTTGGATCTCTATCATGAAATTCCTCATCTGTTATGTGAATGCCAACAACACAACGGATGAGGAATTGTGTTGTTGGTATTCACATAACGGATGAGGAATTGTGTTGTTGGTATTCACATAACGGATGAGGAATTATGTGAATGCCAACAACACAATTCCTCATCCGTTATGTGAATGCCAGCAACATAATTCCTCATCTATTATATGAAAACAGATGAGGAATTGCGTGATTGGCAACGTGAATGCCAATTACACAGTTTCTCATTAGAAATTACGTCCTTGACAGATTTGATAAATGAGGAATGGAGGAATTTAGCATTAATGGTTTCACAACAATGTATCTAAGTTAGTGTCCCAGATATAGGAGTATCCATATTGAAAGGTGAACAATTCGAGGAGTGTCCAGATAATGTAAAAGTATTTAGGCATAGAGCTGTCCAACTTCCCAAGTTTTACCGTATTAATTATAATAAAAATTATTATTACGTCACAATGCTAGACTGCAATTATTCTTCATACTTTAATTTTTAAAAAAATTACACGACTTATACGGATAATCGGAGCTTCCACCTTCTAAGCTCGATTTTCATCTAACTTTACTCTCGAGATTAACGAAGGAAGGACGGACAGACGGACGACAGTCTACAATTTGGAAACTGTAGCTTAATAAATGAATTATTCATTGTATAATTTACTTTAAAAATATTTCATTTCATTTATTATATAACTCAATTTAACTTTTCTTGTATTATTGACTCTAGCCATATTTATAAAGTCAAAACTATTCAACGACGTTATCTTGAATAATGTATAACCGATATTTACTATTCTAGGTAGATTTTATTATATAAATTCATTAATCAATATGTAAATACTCAGAAATTGGGTATTCCATCAGCCGCCATTTTTTTAAAATGGAGGCCGATAGAATGAACGAATTTACTTTCAATTTAAAATTACGCTAATATAGTTTAAGATAATGGAGAATACAGTGTTTAGTAATTACAGACTGTCACGTGTTTACAGTACTTTAATCTTATCAAGCATAAAAATTGATTTCGATTCGGGAAGTACTAAGGTTACAATTCTTTAAAACACATGTATTGTTACTAAAGAGTTTATAAAATTAATTCTATTATTTGATTTCTGTTGTATATTCGTTTCAATTTTGTTCTC